CACTTCCTGGCTTCTAAACCCTTTCTCTCTTGCTCTGTTTCATCTTCAGTACTGCTCCATTTGGAAGCAGAAACAGGCTTTCTTGGGTCTCAGTGGGAAGTGACATCAAGGGCCAAAAACTACTCCTGGGCAAACTCTTGTCACTTTGATGCACAAATGCAAGGCAGGCAGGGCGGGAAAGATGCTCTTTCGGTCTAAGCGACTCGAGAGGGAGATAAAAGGAAGCAGACGCAGGAACTGTTGTTTCCGTCACTGCTGGCCTGGGAAGTGGCTGTTTGTTGTTTATAATCTCAGCACTGAGCAAGTGCATCTCACAAATACTTGAGGCTTAGTCATTGCTACATACTCCACCACACTCTGAGTACAAGTTGGGATATAACAATAAGAAGATTGATATTTCGTTTTGAACCCACAAGCCATTTGTGAGTTAAAATATCATCACTAACGTGAGGCCGAAAATGGGGCTCTGCAGCTTAGAGTACTGACTGCTTTTCCAGAGGATCGGGGTTCTATTCCAACCACCCACATGGTGGTGGCTAATAGTCACCTGTAACTCCAGTTTCAGGGGCTCCGATACCCTCTTCTCACCCCATGGGCAATGCATGCAGATGTTTTACAGATATAATGTGGGAAAAACACACAAAAACAAAAACTAAAATAAATCTTTAAAATATATAGCTGGTTTGCCATGAAAATTACATTGGATAGTACTGAGAAAGGATTCTCATGGAAGTTACACAGGGAACCAAGTACCTGCCTTTTGTCCTGTACAGTTTTCAATATTGCCCGTGTCAGCACCTCTGTGAACAGAGGCCCTGTGGTGATGTGAAGGAAAATGGCCCCCAAAGGGAATGGCACAATTAGGAGGTGCGGCCTTGATGGAGGAAGTGTGTCACTGTGGAGGTGGACTTTGAGGTCTCAGATGTGCTCGAGATACTGCCCAGTGTCTCAGTTCACTGTTGCCTTTGGATCAAGATGTCGAATTCTCCAGCACCATGTCTGCCTACACGCCACCATACTCCTAGCTGCCAAGCTCCCTGCCATAATGATAATGGACTGAATCTGTGAAACTGTAAGCTGCCACCTCAGTTGAATGTTTTCCTTTGTAAGAGTTGCCATAGCCATGGTGTCCTGTCACAGCAATAGGAACCCTAACTAAGACAGGCCCTTTACTGTTAGGAAACCCACTATGGACATCTCCGATGTGAACTTGAGACTTTAACTCATTTTGCTACAACACAGTGAAGCATAGCTGGCTGGGTTTTTTGTTTGTTTTGTTTTAAAGATTTATATATTTAATTATGTATATAGTAAATATTTATTATGTATACCTGAATTCCAGAAGAGGGCGCAAGATCTTATTACAAATGGTTGTGAGCCACCATCTGGTTGCTGTAAATTGAACTCAGGACCTCTAGAAGAGCAGCCAGTGCTCCTAACCTCTGAGCCATCCTTCCAACCCTAGCTGGCTGTTTTAAACCTGTTTTTATTTGTTTATTTTGAAAAAGTAATCCTGAAAGCCACTTAAAATTCCTTAAGCACTGTACGTATAAGAATGTGGGAAGTCATCTTCCTTAAAGTCTCATCTCACAAAAAATAACTGGTATGAACAGCCTGGCACCCATCCTTCCAGGTAATTCTATATACACATGCATTCTTCTTAAGGCAGTATTAAGTTAATTAAATAATTAGTTGGTCTAATTTTGAAACAAGGTGTTACAGGTCCCAGGCTGATCTCAATCATGCTATGTTAGCCGAGAATGACCTTAAACATGTGATTCTCCTGCCTCTGTTTCCTGAGTGCTGGGATTGCAGGTTTGAACCACCACACCTAGTTTTACTCAGTGTAAGACACAGGACCCAGGTGTGTGGTGGGCAGGCATTTTCCAGCTGAGCATAGCCTGGAAGGCTGTCATCTAAAAATAAAAGCCTTCTATGTATCAAATAAGAAGGAATGAAAGATATATTTTGAAAACTAAGTTGTATTTTCTTCTGTTGACTGTGTAAGTGGGGTAAGAACTGAGCATAAATCAGGAAGGTTTGAGCTTTTACAAGTTTAATGTTTAACAGGTGTTAATTTTTGTTTGAGCCTATAAAATAAAAACTGTGGTGACATATAGACGCCAGGACATTTTCCTTGTTAGTTAGAAAATGTCTGTTCTCATATACATGTGCTTTTTTTTTTTTTTTTCCGAGATAGGGTTTCTCTGTGGAGCTTTGGAGCCTGTCCTGGAACTTGCTCTGTAGACCAGGCTGGCTTTGAACTCAAGAGATCCACCTGCCTCTGCCTCCTGAGTGCTGGAATTAAAAGCGTTCACCACCACCACCTGGCACATGTACATGTTTCTAATATTTATATTTTACGTGTGTGTGTGCGCACACGCCCGTGTGTGTGCTGTGCACACGAGGAGGTCAGAGGACAACTTGCGAGAGTTAGTTCTTTCCTTCCACCAGATGGGCTGTGGGACCCATTACTGGCTATCAGGATTGGAGGCAAAATGCCTTCACCGATTGAGACATCTCACCAGCACTCATGTATGTATTTGTATCTCCATATCTGGGGCTAAATCTTTCATTCACTCTAGGTAAACTTTTCATACTGGAGTATACTTAGAAATTCAATCTTCTCTTGAAACAAAATACTCATGCCTAGAGAAGTTAAATACCAGCAATAAGCTGTAATTTGTAAGAAAACTGTTGAAATTTTAGGGATCTTTTCTGGCATGCTAGTACATTTTTCAGAATCCTCATTGGGGGGGGTCCTGATTCATCATTTTTAAAAGTGACCAAATGTACATTGAGGTACCAGCTACAATGGGATGCAGAGGAGCCTCCGATTCCTCCTATCCCAATGGGTAATGATATAGTGCTTCACCAGGATGAACATATTTTTTTCTGAATCCCTCATCTGTTTTTTAATTTTAATTTTTTTATTTTAGAAACGATCTTATTTTACATATCAACCCCCCATTCCCTCACCCTCCCACCCTCCCATGCCCCCGATGGACCCCTCAACCTACCCCCCACCCACTCCCCAAGGATAGTGAGGCCTTCCACAGGGGATCATCAAAGACTGTCACATCATTTGGGGGAGGACATAGGTCCTCTTTCATATATCTGGCCTGCAATAGTATCCCTCCATAGGGAATGGCTCCCACAGTCCACTCGTGTACTAGGAATAAACACTGGCTCCACTGTTAGAGACTTCCCAGGTCTCCAAGCTGGCACTCACATTCAGAGGGCTTGGTTTGGTCCAATGCTGGTTCCCCAGCTTTACAACTAGGCTCTCTGTGCTCTCACTAACTAGGTCAGGTCAACTCTTGTTTTTCCAGCACATCTTGGCTCCTTTGCTCATCCCTCCTCCCTTTCTATAGCTGAATTCCAGGACTATGGCTCAGTGTTTAGCTGTGGGTGCCTAGGATGAGCATTTTTCAAAGTACCAAGAGTACATGGTAGTTTGGGAAGACGACATGACCATCAAGATCTAAGACCTGTGATGAAACTTTGCCCATGAGCTTCACTATAGCAGTTACAAAGGTGAAGAAAATCCCAGCTAGCATATGCCAAGTGCCATATGGGTAGTACAGGTAGAGGCAATTAACAGTGATGGGTCGGTCAATTGCCCTAGTCCAGGATGTAGAGATGATTCTGAGTTACTAGAAACAACAGAAAATAGTTAACTAGTAAAAGCACCTGTAATTAAGTGCACTTAATGGCCTTTCATTCTGGCTGCCTTCCAGAACTTTCGTCAGCAGGGCTACAGAAGCATTGCTGAACTTCTCACATCAGGAGGTGCAGATATCCATGGCTTCTGAAGGCTGTCTTTTTGTGGGGGGAGAGGAGAGGGTTTTGAAACACCTGGAACTTACTCTGCAGACCAGACTGGCCTCAAACTCACAGAGGTCTGTCTGCCTCTGCCTCCCGAGTGCTGGCATTAAAGGCGTGTAGGCCCAGCTCTAAATTTGTATTTTGAAATTCTGTTTTATTTATTATCACTCTATGTGCTGGTTTGAATGAGAATGGCCCCCATAGTTTCATAGGTTTGAATACTTGGTTCCTAGTTGGTAGAAAAATTTGGGAAGGATTAGGAGGTGGGGCCTTGTTGAAGGAGGTGCATCACTGTGGGCAGGCTTTGAGGTACCAGAAGATTCGGTGCATTCCTAGTGTGCTCTCTACTTCCTGTTTGTGGATCAAGATGTGGGCTCCCAGGGCTGCAGAGGTGTCTCAGTGGTTAGGAACACTAGTTCTTTCAGAGGACTGGGATTGGATTCCCAGTATCCACATGACAGCTCCCAGCTCTCTGTAACTCTGCAGTCCCAACCAATCTGACACCGTCTCTGGCTTGTGAGGGCACTGCATGCTTGTGGTGGCGCACGCCTTTAATCCCAGCACTCAGGAGGCAGAGGCAAGCAGATCTCTATGAGTTCAAGGCCAGTCTGGGCTACAGAGCAAGTTCCAAGAGAGCCAAGGAGAAATCCTGTCTAAAAAACAACAAATTATAGAATAAGATTTTATGAAAATTGAGAATTAAGGACTATTGGGCAGAAAGTACATCAAAATATAACCAAGTGTGCCCTGCCCACAGAGTCCCCAGAAGCCTGTGGCACTGCCCACGGAGTCCCCAGAAGCCTGTGGCCCTGTGGCTAGCACAAATCATCAATTTGGCCTTGCATTCATAGACAAAACTGACCCTGAGACACTATGACTAACTCCCCTTGTCTACATCCGCTGGGAAGAACGAGCGCTCGCTGGCAGAAGCTGTGTCCGCACAACACTGGGAAGCGGGTGGTGCTCTAAGGAGTGATATAGGATGAGGTAATGTCCACAGTTGTTCAGCTTTCATGAGCACAAACTAAAACCTGGCATCCCTGGGTGGGAACTGTATCCTTCTAGGTCCAGGTGTCACCACATCTCCTCATCCTGGCTGCTGATTGGCTTCAGCCTGGAACAGCCAGTGAGTGACAGCCGATGCTCAGTGTCATGCACGATTCTCTCTCTAGATTTCACTGGAAGTGTGAACATCACTACTCCAGAGCAGACGATTCAGGAAGCCCAAGGGGAAACTGTCCACCTGCCCTGCATGTTTGTCCTTAACCGCGAGGACCAAGGACCACTGGACATCGAGTGGCTTCGTCTTTCGGGACCCAATGACCAGGTGGTGGACCGTGTGGTGAGTGTGCCCTGTGTCTGCTCACTCTCTCCAGGCAGCTGTGGTGTCATGGCTGGAAGCCCCACTGCCCAGGCTTGTGAACATGGATAGAAAGACTGGAGGTTTCAGAAGAGGAAGGGCTGTCATATTTCTTTTCTTTTTTTCTTTTCTTTTTTTTTTTTTTTTTTGGTTTTTCGAGACAGGGTTTCTCTGTAGCTTTGGAGGCTGTCCTGGAACTCGCTTGGTAGTCCAGGTTGGTCTCGAACTCACAGAGATCCGCCTGCCTCTGCCTCCCGAGTGCTGGGTTTAAAGGCGTGCTCCACCAACGCCTGGCTGGGCTGTCAGATTTCTTGAAGGCCTCAGGGGACAAGAGAACGTGAGAGTTCTGAGAATCTGGACTTGAAAGTGTGTGGCAGGAGGCAAGGAACAAGAGGGGTGTTGAGTGGGCGGGGCAGCAAGGGGATGTGTATGTGAAATGCAAGCGTGCGTGTGTGTGTGTGTGTGTGTGTGTGTGTGTGTGTGTGTGTGTGTGTGTACAGTCACTAGGCTGTCAGAAGTGAGAAGCAATGTCCTCTGTCTTTGTCACTCTTGTCTCCTTTCATTTCACTGTGTTTCCAGCCTGGTCTCAAAGTCCAGGCCCCGTCATCCTCCTACCCGGCCCCCAGTTCTGGTCTGCAAGTGCACCTCACTGCACCTGGCCCTGGCTCCTATAACCAGCAAAGGGTCAGGAGATGTACACAGTAGATGCTTGTCTACATTACCTGTCTGTTCTCCTCATTTCAAGTTACTTCTCCTATACAGTTAACTTCTTAAAAAGCCAAGGGGAAGCTGAGCGTGGCGGCACATGCCTACAATCCTTCTCTATGCAGGTAGGCTGAGGCAGGAGGATTGAGAGTTTGAGGCCAGCTTGGGCTACATAGCAAATTCCAGGCCAGCCTGAGCTGTACAATAAAACTTTATAACAAATAGAACAACAAACAGGCAGAATTTTAGAGTCTGTAAAATATCAGTGTTAAACTATGGAAATTGTGTAAAATGTTGCTGTAGAAGTTTTTCTAATCAAAGTGACCAGAGCCTAATGACAGTCACTGGAAAGTCAACGCCAGCTGTGGGGATGAGGACGCATGCCCAAAGATCCTGTCTCCAAGTGCCTGTATCACACATAACTTCAGATCATTCTTTAGTATATTCTTCTATCTCAAATGTTGCATATTATTGTCATCTGACACATTTTATCTAAAAAAAAATCAACATTGTGCCTTTAATCCCAGCATTTGGGAAGCAGAGGCAGGAGTATCTCTGTGAGTTCGAGGTCAGCCTGGTCTACAAAACAAGTTCCAGGACAGCCAGAACTGTTACACAAAGAAACCTTGTCTCGAAAAAACTAAAACAAAAAAATCAACAGTGGGTTGGAGAGACAGCTCAGTGGGTAAGAGTTCATGCACAAGGACAAGGAACTTTAATAAATCCTAGGGACCTGAATAGTTGTGTGGGGAAAATCATGCTGATAGTTTCAGCTTGTGAAGGGCAGAGGCAGGAGGATGGCTTAGCCTTTCTGGCTGTTAGCGCACGTCCAGATTCAGTTTGAGAGCCTGTCTTAAATGAGTAAGATGGAGAGCACAGAGATACCCAGTGCTTTCCTCTGTCCTCTGTGCCCGCACACGCAGGTGACCACACAGGTGCACCCGAGTGCACTCCACTCTTGCTTTTGTTTCAGTTAGTTTATTTTTCTCTTCTGTTTTTGTTTTCTTTTAGGTTATTTTATATTCTGCAGACAAAATCAGTGATGACGTCTATCCAGATCTGAAAGGAAGAGTGCATTTTACCAGTCATGACATCAGGTCTGGGGACGCATCCATAAATGTAACAAATGTTCAGCTATCAGATGCTGGCACCTATCAGTGCAGAGTGAAAGAAAACCCCGGCACTGTGAATAGGAACATTAAGCTGGCTGTCACTGGTGAGTTCCCGTTGGTAGTGATGGGTGTCTTAGATGGTCGTGATAGGGGCTCATGGTGCTAAAGTTACAGCAAGTTATCTGACAAAGCTTTGATTCTAGAGTAATAGTTATACTCATTATTGCTATGTGAGGGGTGAAACCCAGGGCGCGTGCCTTTCAGGAGCGGACTCTGACACTGATCCACACCCCAGCTCTAGAACAGTAATTTTAAACTTTGGGGCATTTCCAATGTCCTCACGTTGTGTGAAGCATGAAGTGAACGCATTTCCTTTCTTTTGCAAAAGAAAAAGAAGTGAGTTACTTCTTGATGTTGTTATTACTTCATTTTGTTTGTTTTCTTTCATTTTATTCTATGCATCTGAGTGTTTCGCCTGCAGGTATGTCTGGAAGCCAGAAAAGGGTGACAGATGCCCTGCATCTGGAGATACAGACAGTTGTGAGCCGCCATATGGATGCTGCAAACTGAACCCGGGTCCTTCAGGAGAGCAGCCAATGCTTTTAACCGCTGAGCCACCGCTCCAGCCACTCGGTTTCTGGTTTCTGAGACAGGGTTCCACTAAGCATTCCTGGATGCCCTATATCTGTGTAGACCATGATGGCCTCAAACTAACGGAGATCTGCCTGCTTTGCCTCTCAAGTGCTGGATTTAAAGGCATATGGCAACATGCCCAGCCTCTGACAAACTTTGTAAAATCGTTGACAATTTAAAAAATAAGTGAAGGTTGTTTTTCTGCTTAAGAATTTCATACATGCATATAATTTATTTTTATAACTCTACCCCCCAGTTGGTGCCTCCTTTTCCTCCCCATCCCTCCCATGCTCCCCATTTTCCTTTTCAGCTTCTTGCTGTCACTCTCTCCCTTCCCCTCTCTCTGTCCTTCCCTCTCTCCCTATCAATTCACTCAGTGCAGCCTTCTGTGTGTGGGTGTGGGTCATCTACTGGAGTATGGGCAGCCTCTCAGGGCCTCCATCGTTGAAGAAAACAGCCTCTGTCTGCCTGAGCAGCCATCAATTCTGATGCTTCTCTGAGGTGCCCTTCCTAAGCTCCCTGCCCAGTCCATACTGGGATTCGGGCTAGCTTGACTTTGTGCAAGTTTCTGCAGGCAGCTCCCTTTTAAGTTGTTTGAATATAATTATAGGCTGTTCTGATTGTTCTTTTTTTTTAAGATTTATTTATTTGTTATGTATACAGTGTTCTGCCTACAGGCCAGAAGAGGACACCAGAATGCATTATGGATGGCTGTGAGCCACCACGTGGTTGCTGGGAATTGAACTCAGGACCTCTGGAAGAGCAGCCAGTGTTCTTAACTTCTCTCTTATAATGGGAGAAATAATTGGGGGCGGGGAACATGTTTGTTTTTCATGTTACTTTTGGTTCTGTATTGGAGCATGTGCACCAGAAGCAGTTAGCGGCATTTCCACTCCCCCTCTATATATACATATACATATACATATACATATACATATACATACACACACACACACACACACACACACACACACACACACACACACCTGTGTCTATTTCTCAAATCACCTTTCCTTGTCCAGCATAGGAGTATACAATGCTCAGGAGAGGATTAAGTCGTAAAAAGGTTGAAGCTTTGTTTTCCTTTGTGGAACCTGTACCAAGGACTACGGTTTCTGTCCATTCTTTCGAGGCCCGCCACTGTCTGTGTGAGCAGACGCTGACCGAGGCCCACACCCTGCTGCTGCTTCTCTTCTCCATTCCCTTCTTCGTGGCTTCTCGAGTGTAGTTCCACCTTTAGCAAGCTCTGGTCAGAGAAGGTTGGGGTGGGAGGTCCTGAGGGGCCCGGAGGCCCATGGGAGGTATAAGACGCTGCACGTTTCTCACAGCCAGGCTGGTCAAGAGTTCCGTTGTGTGAGAAAGACCCCGAGCCTGGACTCGTGACAGCTGCACCATTGTCACTGTTGTTTTGGATCTAGTCTTCCGACTTTGCCCTGAGAATTAAATAAATTTCTGTATTTCCTCGGGCCTCAGTCTGCTCTGTGTATGGAAACATGGAGTATAAAAAGCTGGAATCGTCACTGTACCTGTCAGTCACCCCTCAGAGCTGCGCGTGAGCGCTGTGAGCTTTTGTTTTTCGCTGCACGCGGACTAAGGAGGGTTCCATGGTGCAGAGCTGGGTGTTTAGGATGCTGGGGATGGAATAGTGTGTGGGGGGGTGGGGGGAGAGGGAGGGAGAAGGAGGGACAGACAGAGAGACGAGAGACAGTACGTGAGTATCTGTGTGGGTACACCGGCACCACAGCATGCCAGTAGATGTCAAGAACGACTTTCAGGAGTTGACATTCTCCTTCCACGGTGGCTTTCAGGGATCAAATTCAGGTCATCAACTAGCCCGACAAGCATTTTGCTCACAGAGCTTCACCCGACATTATTACTTGTTTAGCGCTCAGATTATTGTACATCAAACAAAACAAAACAGAAAAGCGTTTCCAACATCATCCTTCAGTGTGATCTAAATGGAGGGCTTTTCAAAAATTGTGTGTTATGGCTGGAGCTATGGCTCAGAGGTTAGAGCACTTGCTGCTCTTCCAGAGTTCTGGAGTCTGCGTCTCAGCACCCTCACGACTGCTTATAGCTGTCTGTGACTCCAGTTTCGGGATTCTATGCCTTCTTCTGGACTCTGTGGGCACTGCACACGGAGTTCTCAGTGAGCCTGTGGCACTATGGCTAGCACAAATCAACAATTTGGCCTTGCATTCATAGACAAAACTGACCCTGAGACACTATGACTAACTCCCCTTGTCTACATCCGCTGGGAAGAACGAGCGCTCGCTGGCAGAAGCTGTGTCCGCACAACACTGGGAAGCGGGTGGTGCTCTAAGGAGTGATATAGGATGAGGTAATGTCCACAGTTGTTCAGCTTTCATGAGCACAAACTAAAACCTGGCATCCCTGGGTGGGAACTGTATCCTTCTAGGTCCAGGTGTCACCACATCTCCTCATCCTGGCTGCTGATTGGCTTCAGCCTGGAGCCAGCCAGTGAGTGACAGCAGATGCTCAGTGTCATGCACGTGTTTCTCTAGGTTTCACTGGAAGTGTGAACATCACTACTCCAGAGCAGACGATTCAGGAAGCCCAAGGGAAAACTGCCCACCTGCCCTGCATGTTTGCCCTTAGCCCCGATGACGAAGGACCACTGTTCATTGACTGGATGCAGCTTACAGGACCAGAAAATGAGGTGGTGAACCGTATGGTGAGTGTGCGCGGTGTCTGCTCACTCTCACTTGGCAGATATGGCATCGTGGCTGGACGCCCCACTGCCCAGGCTTGTGGCCATGGATAGAATGACTTGAGAATACAGGGACAAGAGGGTGTGGTGGAAATTGTGAAAATGTTAACTTGAACGTTTGTGACAGGAGGCAAGGAACAAGAGGGGTGTGCTGAGCAGGCGGGGTAGCAAGCGTGTATGGGTGTAGAGTGTGTGTGCCAGTCACTAGACTCTCTCAGAAGTCAGGTTTTGTTAAAGATTTATTCATTATGTACACAGGGTTCTGCCTGCATGTATGTCTGCCTGTCAGAAGAGGGCACCAGACTCCATTATAGATGGCTGTGAGTCACCATGTGGTTGCTGGGAATTGAACTCACGTCCTCTGGAAGAGCAGTCAGTACTCTTAGCCTCTGAGCCATCTCTCCAGCCCCAGAAGCCAGATTCTATGCTCTTTATTTTTGTCATGATCAAGCTTCGTCTTCCCTAGTTACTGGAACACAGGTGTGTCCCATCATGCTTACCTTCCGAATTTGCATTAAGAAAAAAAGCAATTGGTCTTGTTTTGTTGCATTACACAGGCAAATTATGATAGCCTTCTTGGGGGTACAAAGAGTGGCCTTTTGTTGTTTTTGCTGATTTTTTTTTCACTATACCCTCTGAAGCAGCTGAAAAACAAGAACATATAGGAATGAACAAGTATGTGGTCCTATCCAGTGTCCCCAAACCTTTCTCTAGTACTAGACTGTGTTATTTAATCATGTTCAATGTTATTTAATCACACCGTACTCTGGGTTTTCCAGTTGTAATGGGAACATGAAAGCCAAAGACTTGGCTCAGTACTTAAGAGCTGGATGCTCTTCCAGAGGACCTGGTTTCAGTTGCCAGCATCCACGTGTCAGCTCATAACGGTCTATTACTTCAGGTCCATGTGACCCAGTGCCCTCCGCTGGCCTTTGAGTGCTAGTGTTAGAGACTATTCTTTTTAACTAAGCAAGGATGTGTTACATTTGTTTATACTGAAGAATTCAGTCCTAATTCAGGTTCTTTTGCTTGTCTGTCAAACACTTTATTTACTGAGCCATCTTTCCAGCTCTCTCCTTTCTGTCTTCTTCCTTTTCTCCCATTTCTTTTAATTCTGTGATAACATGGTGTATGCACAGCTTTAACAAAAGATTTTTAATTTATTTTTTATTTTATGTGAGTTTTTTTTGACTGTATGTACATCTGTGTACCATGTACATGCCTAGTGCCTGTGAAGGCCAGAAGAGGCTGTTTAATCCCATGGATCTGAAGTGACAGGTCACTGGGAACTGCCATGTGGGTGCTAAGACCCCAATCCTGGGTCTTCTGGAAGAGAACTACAAACTTCTAACCCCTGAGCCATTTCCTCAGCCCATGTTTGTTTTTTTCTTGTGTTCTGGTTTTCTTTTAGTTTATTGTAAATTTAGCAGACAAAATTTATGATGACTTCTATCAAGATATGAAAGGACGTGTGAAATTTACTAGTAATGACATCAGGTCCGGGGACGCATCCATAAACATAAGCAATGTTCAGCTGTCTGACACTGGTACCTATCAGTGTGGAGTGTTCCAGGGCTCTGGGGCCGTCAAGACGATCATTCAACTGACAGTTGTTGGTAAGTTACTGTTGTTGGTAGAGAGCGATGGTTTACTAACAGGGAGAAAGGTCTCAGTACTAAAATCAAGCACTTATGTAAGACAGACTTATTTTTACAGCAATGATTGTATTTATTCATTTTTGATATCCTAGGAGTGAAACCTGGGCCTCGTACTTTTGAGAAAAGAGCTCTACCACTGAGACACACCCCTGGCCCTAGGATTATAAATAAACTTTTGAAGTATTTCTAATGTCCTCACATAGCTTAAAACATAAAGCTGGCACACTTTTGGATAAGAAAGATAAAAAGCAACTAAATTCTTTGCAAAATTCTTTATGATTTTCAAAATAAATGAAGTCTTGTGTGAGAAAGACCCTGAGCCTGGACTCGGGACAGCTGCACCGTTGTCATTGTCACTGTTGTTTTGGATCTAGTCTTCCGACTTTGCCCTGAGAATTAAATAAATTTCTGTATTTCCTCGGGCCTCAGTCTGCTCTGTGTATGGAAACATGGAGCATAAAAAGTTGTAATCGTCACTGTACCTGTCAGTCACCCCTCAGAGCTGCCCGTGAGAGCTCTGAGCTTTTGCTTTCACTGCGCATGGACTAATGAGGGTTCCATGGTGCAGAGCTGGGTGTTTAGGATGCCGGGGATGGAAGTGTGTGTGTGTGTGTGTGTGTGTGTGTGTGTGTGTGTGTGTGTGTGTGTGCTCAAGCTCATGTACCATATACCATGACACATGTTGGAGCTCATAAGACAACTTACAGGAGTTAGTTTCTCTTTCCATCATTGCATGTCTTGGGGGTCAAACTCAGGGTGCCCTGCTTATCAACAAGTGCTTTATCCACTGAACCAGCCCTGTTTGTGCTTTCAAATAACAGTATATATTCTTTAAAATGCTTCAAGATTTGTTTTGTGTGTTTTCCCTGCATGTATGTATGTCTGTACCACAGACATGCCTAGAGCCCTCAGAGATCAGAAGAGGGGGTTGGATCCCTGCAACTAGAGCTATGGTTATGAACCACCATACGGGTCCTGGAACACAACCTGGTCCTCTATGGGGCAACAGATGCTCTTAACCACTAAGCCATCTCTCAGTCTCCAAGGATAGCATATACTCTTACTGTACTATTGGTTTTTATTTTAAGGGTCTCCTTGGCTGACCTTGAACTTGGGCCCCTTCTGCCTTGCCTTCCAAGTCTTAGGATTACATATTTGCATCTGTATATGGTTTGCATTGTTGAGGCTTTAAAAATATTTCTAATTTTATTAGCACATGTAAATTATCCCTATTATGCACGATCGCTTTCACTAAGCAAATGCTTTTCTTTTCAGGCTAAACATCGGCCCCAGAAATCACATCATTGAACTTCTAATTAAATTTTGCCAATTATTTGATCTGTTTGTTTGTTGGTTGGTTGGTTTTTCGAGACAAGGTTTCTCTGTATTGTTTTGGAGGCTGTCTTGGAACTCATTATGAAGACCAGGCTGGCCTCGAACTCACAGAGATCCTCCTGCCTCTGCCTCCCGAGTGCTGGGATTAAAGGCGTGTGCACCAACGCCCGGCAATTATTTGATCTGGGAGTCTTCAATGAAATGTGTCTTGTGCCCCTGCACTCCTTCAACCTCAAAAGAATCCTTTGTGAGACTGGTTAGTGTCTCATAGTTTTGTTTGATTTTCTTTCTTCAGTTCTCCTCTGTATTCTAGGGTTAAAGAACCTGAGACAATCATCTTGGAGATAGAGATGTAATCTGTCTGGTTATCAGTTGATAAAAACAAACATGATTTGGAATTTCAAGCTTTGGAAAAAGAATCTAAGTCCTTCAAATAATATTGCTTTAACTCCATTTCCATGCTCTCTGGGGATGAGGTGTACTGCAGAGAAGTTTGCTCACTATTTGTCCTGTTCAGCATTTTATTGCGGCAGTGATTCCAATGTTAGGCTTCTATAACTCAGTTTCAGAAATGCCTTCCCCAGGGTGCTGAAGGTTTCACACTAATTGTATATTGTGCTTTATTGGTGCATGTATGATGCACACATGCTTGAGGAGGCCCAAAGTCGGGGTTGGTTGTCTTCTGCAATCACTCTCCACTTTATCTTATTGAGTCAGGGTCTCTCATCTGAACCCAGAGTTCACAGATTGGCTGGTTTTTCACAAGGCTAGAGTTCAGTTCATAGCCCTCACTTTGGATAGCTCACAACTGCCTGCAGTGCCTGCTCCAAGGCATTCGGTGCCCTTTCCTGGCCACCAAGGAGGCTGGTACAGATGCATGTGCGGGCACACACACAGTGAGAGTGTGTGTGTGTTAATGGTGAGCTGTTTCCCTACAGCTGCAATACTTAACTAACAGCTTGGTAGCCCAAGCTACAGAAATTTCTTCAGTTTTAGAGACATAAAGTCTCAAATCAGCTCTAGGGGCAACTCTGTTTCTTAGTTCCTTTTGCTTGGAGAACCATTTTCCACCCTTTTGGCCAAGGTGATGGTAAAGGTGTGTTTCTTTTCTTTTTTTTTTTTTTTTTTGGTTTTTCGAGACAGGGTTTCTCTGTGGCTTTGGAGGCTGTCCTGGAACTCACTTGGTAGTCCAGGCTGGTCTCGAACTCACAGAGATCCACCTGCCTCTGCCTCCCGAGTGCTGGGATTAAAGGCGTGCGCCAACAACGCCCGGCGTAAAGGTGTGTTTCTTGCAGGCAGCAAAAAGATAGCTTGCTTTCTAATCCAACTGCCAATCTGTCTCTTTATCGGGTAATTGAGATGGTAAATTGTTGTCTAAAGACAAGTATTAACTGCTATAATTTTGTTACATTTTCTTAAATCTCTTTTGTTATTAAAAAGTTTGTTATATTCAGTATTCTCTTGCTTGTTTTCATCCTTTTCTTTAGATCAAAGTGTTTTCCCACCTCTTCAGAGGTGGCTTAGAGGTCATACATTCCTTTAATCTGTTTTTTCCACTGATTTCTCTTCTTCCTCATATTACAGCTGATAGTTTTGCTGGATACAATAGTCTGGGCTGGAACCTGTGGTCATTTAGAAACCTCAGATAATCAGTCCAACCTCGTCTGGCTTTTAAAGTTTTCACTGAAAAGTCAGTTGTTATTCTGATGGGCTTGCTTTCATAGGTGACTTGTTTCTCTTGGAGATTTTAACATCATTTTGTTTGTTCTGTACATTCAGTGTTTATTATATGACATGGGGAGTTTCTTTTCTAATTGGTGTTATGTGTATGTTTCTTGCACCCTGATGGCCATTTGTCTTTCCTTATATTTGGGGGGGTTTCTTCTATGATGTTGTTGAAATTATTTTTGTGCCTTTGACTTGGGTTTCTTCTTCTCTGATTCATAGGTTTTGCATTTTACAGTGTCTCAGAGTTCTTACATGTTCTATTCATGAGTTTGGTTTTATTTATTTTTTAGATTTAACATTTTATTTTTATCTATCATCTGTCTGTCTACCTATCTATCTATCAGATTTTTGAAACAGGGTTTTTCTATGTTACAGCCCTGGCTGTCCTGGAACTCACTATGTAGACTGGCCTCCAACTCACAGAGATCCGCCTACTTCTGCCTCCCAAGTGCTGGGATTAAAGTCCTGTGACATCACTGCCTGGCTTTTTTTTTCTTTCCACTCAGTTTTTTTTTTTTTTTCTGTTTTTGGTTTTTCGAGACAGGGTTTCTCTGTATTGTTTTGGAGGCTGTCGGTCCAGCCTGGCCTCGAACTCACAGAAATCCGCCTGCCTCTGCCTCCCGAGTGCTGGGATTAAAGGCGTGCGCCATCCACTCAGTTAGTTACTCAATACCTCTACCTTGTTATTAGTCTTGATATTCTCTCTTTTTGTGAGACTTTCAGTTGTTTTTTATTTGATTTACTCAATTTTTAATTGAGTTTTATTTTATTTTGACTTTTCTTCAGAAATTCTATCTCTATTTAATTCAATTTTCATACGTTGAATTGTTTCCTTTATTTCAACTATCTTCAGTCTTCATTCTGGCATTCATCCACATCCTTTTTGAGTTCCTTAAGCGTTATTTATAATAGCTATTTTGAAATCATTTTGTCATTAAGTTGCTTGAAGTTTTGAAGATGTCTTATCTTGGTCATTCATATTTTTTGTGGTAGGACCTGTATCTGGAGTTTGGTTTTTAGCTGTGTTTCTTGATATGGATATCTGTTTCACCCTTGTTGAGTGTGCACTTGTATTGGTTTGCTCTTATCTAACCTGTCAGGCTATGGGTCAGCTGAATGATGTTTGGAGCTGTCTTGGGCCACTCAGTGTTTATGTCCAAATGGAGTGCAAAGGGAGAATCAGAGTCCATCAATGCCTGATCCTTTTCTCCGACTTCCCCGACTCCAGCACCTTGGTTTGCAAATGGACCTCTACCCTTCTACAGCTTTCTGGTGCCTGCAAATGGTCACTGTAGTTTTTGCATCTTTACTCATGCCCCACCAGTTTCATACTGAGACTGTTTTCACTCATTTCCTCACCATCATCCACTGCATTGTCAGATCTACTGGTGTCCTGTGTTTAGAAAAATGAACATCTACAAACCCCAAATAGGAAGGAAGTCTATACACCAAAGGAAGATTCTGTCAAGTCGAGCTTGACAACTGAGCTTCCTGGTTTCTCACAAGAACATGGTGACTCCCAGGCAGCTGTTCCACTGACCAGCCCCAGCCCAGTCGATTTTTTACCTCTCATATTGAAACAGAGGGAATGCTGATTGGAATCTCATGGGAGGGTCTTGTGACTCTTTCCTTCCCTCCAAGAGGAAGAGGCACCAAGACCCATTGTATCACCTAGCTATTGGCTGTAGTTCTGTTTATTTTGGCACCATGACTACTACCAAGATCCAGGTCCATCATAAACAATCCACTTCAAGGTGGTAATGATCATGTGAAGCCTGAAAGAGTGACTACAGCCATGCACATCAGTTCCCAAGCTTTCCATTACTCGGTAGTGACATGAGACCATAACTTCCTGTTTTATACCGTCCTGCCTTGCCTCCTACATTTGAGGATTTCCTACCGTCTCACTCTTAGATCTGTTTTACTTCCTCTCTCTGTAATCAATCTTGTCACTATGACAAAATACCTGAGGGAACAATTTAAAAGGCAAGGAGATTTATTGTGGGTCACAATTTCAGTCCAAGATGGACTAGTTCTGTTTCTGGGTTCACAGTGAGGTCTTAACCACGGAGCCATCGCTCATGGTTTTATTCTTAAGTGTCAGACTGCCAAGAGGAGAGAGAGAGAGGGTGCTTTTTAAAAATGCATTGAGGACATATTAAAATCGTCTGTGTGTGTCTGTGCACACGGGCCCGTGCTGGGAGCAAACCCAGGCCTCACACATGCTAGGCGAGCACTCTACCGCTGAGCTACATCCCTAGCCCAATTATAAAGCTATTATTTTCAGGTTTGTGCAGAGCATGTTACAGAAAAATAAATGGCACATAGGCATATTAATTTTAATAAACTGTCTTTGTAACCAGCATTCAGATGAAGAAAATTATCATCAGCTTTGAGGTTTTTTTTGCCACTTCTGGTTATTAATTCCCTTCTAATTCGGGCATTATGTGAACTTCTAAGGCTACATATATGTAAGGGGTATTTTTTTCCGTCTCTGAATCTTATAGAATTCTTAATGTAAGCTGGCATGGTGATGTAACCCTTGTGCTTAGGAGATAGAGGCAAGATGATCAAGGTCACCCTCAGTGGGGTTCAAAGCCAGCCTGGACAATATGAGATGGCAACCAAAGTAATTCGAAATTGGTTGTCAGACTGCTCTCTAAAAAGGAAAATATTTATTCTCCCCACCAAAGTGTGAGAAGGCAAGGGAGATGGCCCAGCGGGTGACAGGCATGAGGATCTGAGCTTCAATCTCCAGAATCCACACAGCACCCTCACCAGGGTATGAGAGGTGGGAACGAGAACCCAAGGAAGCTCACAGCCCAGCAGGTCTATCCTGCTTGACACCAAACAAGAGGCCTTGTCTGAAACCAAGCGGAAGGTGAGGACCACGCCTGAGGTTGTCTGGCTGTCTTCTGACCTCCATATGTGGGAAGTGGTGCCTGCCATGAAAAACCTTCAGAGAAGAGCAGGGAGGCAAACCATGGGTGAGCAGCACTGTTCGAGTCTACCCAGAGAGGAGACTCTGTGGCAGCGGCGTCTGTGAGGTACTGTGTACAGCAGCGGTACCCTCCTCGGATGGATGTCCATATAAAAGATGTATCTTTTTCTTTTTCTTTCTCACATGTGAATGAAAATAAAACCTCTTCAGAAACCCATGTTCTAAATTAAGTTAAAAAATAATTTTGTATGTGTGGATTTGGACACACATGCCAAAGGGCACACATCCGAGGACAACTTTCAGGAGTCAGCTCTCCTTCTGCTGTGTAGGTCCTCAGGACTGAACTCAGGTCATTAGGATGGTGGCAGGCACCTTCCTATTAAACCATCTTTTGTTTTGGAGACAGGGTTTTCATAGTGCAGCCCTAAATGGCCTGGAATTTGTTATATCACAGGCCGGCCTTCAAAATACAGAAATCAGCCTGCTTCTGCCTCCCAAGTACTGGGATTAAAAATATATACCACCACACTCAGATAAATGGAAATCTTTTCATTCTTGAGTGATTTATTTTTATATGTATTTTATATGTATAAGTGTTTTATCTGCACCAGATGCATGTGTGATATCCATGGAGGCCTAAATAGAGTGTTAGATCACCCGGGACTAGAATTACAAGTGAGCCGCCACATAGGTACTAGGAATTGAATCCAGGTTTTCTGCAAGAGCAGCAGCATACACTCCTAACGCTAAGCCATCTCTCTTTAGCACCTAAATTAAATTCTTACATGACATTATAGAACTTTTTTCATGTTTTCAGGCAGAAAGTGTTTGTTTTCTCTGGTTACATTTACTGCTTCATTATGAACCAACTGCTTCAAATACAGGCCAACCCATCTGCGCATGCAAGAGACACGTGAAAACAAACCCACCGTGGGACACAGCGACAGCACCATTTTATTTTACAGTGTTTACTACAGTCAAGGTTACTGTGGTGAGATGTGAGTGGGTTTGGTCCATATTTTATTTTCCATTTGAGTTAGAAACATTTTACAGTAGTTAAAAAATAAATTTTTGTGATTCCACATTTTTCTTGACCATTGGAATATTACAGTTTCAAGTAACAAATGATAAAAATAAAAACATTGCAAACTAAATCTACCGATATGTACAGTGAACATACTTAATTACCACCATTAGCAAGTCCTGATGTCTCCTTTTCAGCTCAGAACCCATTACCAAGCAGTCATTGAGGGAGCTCTGGAATCTCCCTGTTGTCCACAATGAGTGTGTGGATAATCCCTTCTCTTCTCTTCCCACTGCTGACAGCTTTTATGTAACACTCATGGTTCCCAACACTGAAGTGTGTTTCAGTCCCATCGTCTACAAACTCGCCCTAGGACAGCAACGGAGGAAGCATCAGTGGTCCAGAAATCTCTGTCGGGGCACTAGCATCATCTAAAAAGTACTGGTTTTAAAGTCAAACTCTTCAAAATCAGAACCCAAAGATTAGAGCCTGGTGATTTGCTGTAATTCCCAAAATCCCGAGGGATCTCAGGTTTCAGGAGAAGAAAGTTCTGTGTCCACAGTGTAGACAATGTTTACAAAACTGGTGAGCAAGTCAAAAGACAATTCTCAGTCACTTCCACTATCCTGGCTCATGGGCATCATTTCACTGTCTTTACAACTGCTGCCAGAAGGATTCTATTCTCATTTTGTAGAAACAGAAATTGAAGAGCAACAAATGTAATAACTTGTTGAAGGTCCGTCCAGTAAGACAGAAGGGTTCCCACCCAAGAACCAACAGAAAACCAACTCCTCCAAGTGTAAGGTTAGCACACGCCAGAGTAACCGACAACACTGACCACTGAATACCACACCCTTGACTAGTCGGAATGAGATGAATGGTTTCAGTGTGAACTATAGATGACTTTTTTTTCTTTAAGGCAGGATCTTTCTACATAGCCCTGGCTCTCTTTCTGAAATTCACTATGTAGACCAGGCTATGCCAGACCAGACAGAGAGCCACCTGTCTCTGCCTGTCTCCTGAGTGCTGGCATTAAAGGCCACCATGCATGTCTTTATGACATTTTTGACATACTGATTTAAATTACACATAAAAATTTCCTTTTAGTGCTGCTACCAGAGAGGTGATGGTGCATAGGAGTCTCATACTTTGGGTTCGTCTTACATTTCTACTTCTTGCTAAGCAACACAAGCACGGGAGCATCAGAGGAAGCCTTTCTGAGCTCTGAGCAGCCCCAGCAGGTGGTCTTTGGAGGTTGTGTTCTGTAAGCCAACCAAGGCCTGTCCTGGGCCACTTTGTTCTGAGCCTTGGAAGCAGGCATGGAGGGCCAGACAAAGGTTGCTAACACAGTCTCTCTAAGTTGCTTCTGGGCAATTTCACACGTTTCAGGGATGACACTGGGGGGGAAAACAATGGCTGCTGCTCAGGAGTGGAGCAGTCCTCAGCATGTGCTCAGGGTGGGGTGGGGGCAGACTGAGTGAGACAGGGAAGCTGCCTGGATGGTTCTGCTGCTTAGCTACAAGTGGCCAATGGGGTTACAGAGGGCTGTTTCACGCTGGCTTCCTGCCAGTTACTAAGACTATTTAAAGTCCCATGCACTTACACTGAAAACCATTATTCTGTACAAAGGACATACATTAATGATTCCTAGAAACCGTATTATTGTCAGTTTTTGCAGTGGTGAGCATGGAACTGAGGGCCGCACACATGCTAGCTAGGTGAGTGCCCTACTACTGAGATACAACCCTAGCCTTGATTTATTCTGTTAAGATTCACTTTTATTAAAAAATAAAAAACTTTTTAAGAAGCAGGGTGTGGTGGCACATACCTTTGATCCTAATACTTGGGAGGCAGAGGCAGGTGGAACTCTGAGCTTGAGGCCAGCCTGGTCTATGGAGTGAGTTCCAGGATACCCCGGCAACAGAGAGAAACCTTGTCTCAGAAAACCAAAAGGAATTTTGTTTTTATATTAAATTGTATGTGTTTTGCCTGCATGTATGTCTGTGCACCACGTGTGTCCCTGGTGCCAGTGGAGGTCAGAAGAGGGCATCAGATCTCCTAGAACTGGAGTTATGGATGCTTGCAAGCTACCATGTGGGTTCTGGGAATTGAATCCAAAAGTGCTCTTAACCACTGAGCCATTTTTCCAGGTGTGTGTGAGATCAGGCCTGGCTTTTGCATGGCTCTGGGAATCCTAAGTCAGGTCCTGGTGCACGCTTGGCAGTTAACTGACCAGAGCCATCTGCAGCCCTCATCCCCCCCACACCACACCCGTGTCTAGGATGAGGAGCTGTCACTCACACACACTAGGAATAAATAAATAAACGTGACTTACCGCTGTCTCCAGTTTCTGACCATTGCACCATACATCCATAGTATCCTTTTCTGTAAAAGCATCATAAAGTTCAAAAGTTACAATTCTGTAATTTAAAGTTGGATACACTATATTTCTAAACTGTAACCAACATTCTAAAACTCAATACTTTCAATGTCTTTGAAGCTCAAAAGTTGAAGAAATGTTCATAGATGAAAACTAGTTTTTTTTTTTTTAATCTTTTTGTTTTGTTTTGTTTTTGAGAGAGGGTTTCTCTGTTTAGCTCTGGCGGTTCTGAAACTTGCTCGGAAGACCAGGCTGGCCTCAAACCCACAGAGTACCACCATGCCTGGCTTTGAAATCTTTTAAGAGAAAGTCATGGCCCCACCAGAATGTGATAAAAATCTTGTTAAACAAATTCTGAAGGGCAATCTTTTTAAAGGAGTTACAAGCAAATGAATGAGGGAATGATGAGGACCTTATTCATAGGAAACTGGCTTAAATAAATTTAAACCAACATCGGAAATGTGACTAGGTGACTTCTGCCTCCTGCACTGGCAGAGTTAGCTGGGTGATGGCATAAAGACCCTCTGCCTTGGGGTTTGTAGGAGGTAAACAGTAGGAACTTAGTTTTTAGTTTCTTTCTAGACAGAATAATCCTATTTTATAGTGGGTTTGCTTCGGGAAAAAATGAATTATAAGTAAAAATAGATCAAACATGTGGACTCTACAGTACGGAACGACAGGGAACACAGCTTGCAGCAACTCATGCAGCAGTTTGCCATCGTAATTCCCTGCCAGGTGGGAGTCCCCAATACTACCTGACAACATTAGTGTCCTAAGAGTTGGCTGGAAGAAGGCTGATCACCAAGGAGCCAGATGAGGAAGCAGAGAGAGCCTGTGTTTGTGACTTTCATGGGAACCAGAATCCAAGGATAAATCTGCCCCTGGGTCACGTCTGGGTGTGACTCTGGCACAAGCCCAAGTGGCTTCTCTTCTCCCCACTTCCTGAACCAGATGGGCGCTTATTTAAACTATAGAAGCCTCTGAGGTGGGCTAAATGTGATAAGGGGAAGCAGTGGGGGCCTCAAGATACATGAGGCTCACCCCAAAGGCAGTTGAATGTGATTCACACATGGTCAGAGGCAGGGAAACCTAGCTGATCATAGGTAGCTGAACACCCAGTGCTAAGACCAGCGACGGTGGTAGTGAGAACTGGCCATTAGTTTGTTTACTGAACGCGCATACATATTCAGATTACCTAAATTATCTAGAAGGGCTTGCCTGACCTGCCTATGAAGAACATGGCTAATCCAAAAACCATAAAAGAAAACTAGAGCCGGGCGTTGGTGGCGCACGCCTTTAATCCCAGCACTCGGGAGGCAGAGGCAGGCGGATCTCTGTGAGTTCGAGGCCAGCCTGGTCTACAAAGTGAGTTCCAGGACAGCCTCCAAAGCTACAGAGAAACCCTGTCTCGAAAAAACCAAAAAAAAAAAAAAAAAAAAAAAAGAAAACTAGAACACATTTGAAAGACCATGGTCATAAACAATGCCATATAATAATGAGCCAGCACTGCATTTTGAGGCTATCTCAACAATCAGCACAAAGGCCAAGGCCACATATTCAAATAATTGATTCTCTAACCCAGTGCTCTCAACCTTCCTAACGATGCGACATTAGCACAGTGCCTCATGCTGTGCTAACCTCAAACCATGAAATTATTTTGTTGCTACTTCATAACAATAATTTTGATGTTATCAATTATAAATATCTGATATCCAGGTTATGTGATATTTGACCTCCAAGAGGGCTGCAACCCATAGGTTGAGAACTACTGTTCTAATTTCCATGAATAAGTGATGGGATGCAATGAGTCGCCACATCCCTGCCACATCATGGTGACATTCAGAAAAATGGATGAAACAAATTATTAAAAGCTCCAGTAATGAGAGTCACATAGACACAAAATTCTCTTAAAGCAGCGAAGAATAGAATATGGGAATAAAATATGGGACTACAGCCTTCATAAATTCTGAGGGAAATGATTTTGCTGTATTTAACAAAAATAGCAACTCAGCTTAGAAGCCAAAGAAGGTTTAACCCTTGACCACAGGAATAATCCCTTAATGATGTATTTCAAGGAACAAGTTGAAACTGGGAGCTGCCAGCAGCAACTGGCTGACCTAGTATCTATGAAAGTCAGCCCAGGTGGCCACACTGGAGAAGGCTGGGAGCTCTTGCTCTCCAACAGAAAGGAAACAACCCAAGAACCTCTTCTTTAAGAATGAAGGGAGGGGCTGGAGAGATGGCTCAGGGGTTACAAGTCCTGGATGCTCTTCCAGAGGACCTGTAGATTCCTGGCACCTATACTGTAGCTGACAACTGTAACTCAAAGGATCCACTGCCCTCTTCTGACCCCTGTAGTACTGCAAGCCTGTGGTGCACAGACATACATGCAAGCAAAATACCACACACATAAAATAAGAAAATCTCAATGTTTGATTTTGTTTTTCAAGACAGGGTTTCTCTGTGTATCCTTGGCTGTCCTGGAACTCACTCTGAAGACCAGGCTGGCCTTGAACTCACAGTATTATTAAATTATTATACATGTCTGCAATTTGGCAAAAGCAAATAAGTAGTTATGTGATATTGTAATTCTATCATTCTGTGTGTCCTTGAGAAGGAAGATTCTAAGTGTGGAAATAAAGGAGATACGGGTGTTAGATAAGATGAAGTAAAACCTATACTCCTCAACTTGACCTGCAAGTATCAACGTGGACTCAGAAGACACCTTAAAGAAAAGATCTTTCAGAGGCAGGTGGATCTGTGAGTTCAAGTTTAGCCTGGTCTGCATACTAAGTTCAAGGCTAGCCAGGGCTACACAGAGAGACCCTGTCTCAAAAAACCAGAAAATGTCTGTCTCCCTTCTGCTTTCCTTCTTCCTTCTCTATTATCATCCCCTTGTTGTCTTTTATAGCATCATCCATCCATCCATCCATCTATCTATATACCTAGCATCTACCTACCTACCCATCCATCCATCCATCCATCCATCCATCCACCCACCCACCCACCCATCTACCCATCTATCTACCCACCTAATTTCCTTAGTACTTGGTTAGATTATGCTCTTGAAATACATTTTTATATAATATTCAAGTCAAGCAAAAATATTCAAACAGCTAGATCATCCTGTTATGCCACATCTGAAGGGAGCCACCAAAGCCCACTAGGAATATGCCCAAAGGACTCAGGAACCACTTGAACAAGGACTCCCTCAGAGGTTCAAAACAGTACATTTTTGTGGCTCATACTGTATTCCGAGCACTTGGGAGACAGAGGCATAAGTATTAACAAAAGTTTAACACCAGCCTGGGTGATTGTGAGCACAGGCCAGCAAAGATGGAACAAGACCCAGTCTCAAACACACATGTACACAAATTCCCCTCTCCCCAAAAGTGGCTTTTTTTCTCTCCCTTCCTTCCTTCCTTCCTTCCTTCCTTCCTTCCTTCCTTCCTTCCTTCGTTTTTTGAGACAGGGTTTCTCTGTGGTTTTAGAGGCTGTCCTGGAACTAGCTCTTATGGGCCAGGCTGGTCTTGAACTCACAGAGATCCGCCTGCCTCTGCCTCCCAAGTGCTGGGATTAAAGGCGTGTGCCACCACTGCCCGGCCAACAGGAACATTTTAAGCATTTATATATATATTTTTTTCACTCTATTAGTTCTGTTCCTCTAGAACCCTGGCTAATGTAGTTATCAACCTTGAAGAAAAAAGACAACAATAAACACTGTGTGCTTCAAGACACCAGCAAACTGTAAGTTGGTTTTGCCAGAAAGAAAATCCAACAAAACCTGAATCTGAAAATTCATTAATTAGGTACCCTTTACAGAAAATATGGGAGGGGAATTTTATAATCCACAGATATTCAATCAGCAAAACCCAGGCCACTGACTTTTTATAGTAAGTAATTAATTTAGGTTCTTTTATTTACTTCCTCCCTTTTAAAAGGACAGTTTCATTTTGTAGCCCAGATTCGCCTCAACCTGGTTCTCCTGTCTCAGTCTATGAAGTGTTGGGATTACAGGTATGAGCCACCATTCCTGCCTTTTATTTTTTTATGTGATTTATTAGTTGATAAACATTTCTCATCTTAAAAACAAACAAACAAACAAACAAAAAGCCTATTGCTAGCACCCAACTAGAATGAATACCACCCAGGTTTGGTTAAAGTTCCTTGTGTCTATGCATCCTCAATACCTGGTGGACAGACTATCTTCCTTTTGAGAGGCAGTTAATAAATCTATTCTAAGTAAATGAATTAAGGAGCTGGAGAGATGGCTCAGTGGTTAAGAACACTAGCTGGTCTTCCAGAGGTCCTGAGTTCAATTCCCAGCAACCACATGGTGGCTCACTACCATCTGTAATGAGAGCTAGTGCCCTCTTTGGCCTGCAGACATACATGCAGGCAGAACACTGTATATATAATAAATAAATCTTTAAAAAATAAATGAATTAAGATATTTATTAAGCCCTTTTTATTTAGTAGTATGGGGGACCAGAATAGTGAAAAGGTTACTTCTTAAAAACCTGCTTTTGGAGCCGGGCGTTGGTGGCGCACGCCTTTAATCCCAGCACTCGGGAGGCAGAAGCAGGTGGATCTCTGTGAGTTCGAGGCCAGCCTGGTCTACAAAGCAAGTTCCAGGACAGCTTCCAAGACAATACAGAGAAACGCTGTCTCGAAAAACCAAAAAAAAAAAAAAACAAACCTACTTTTGGCGCACTTTGATAACCCTGATCTAATGGAACCCAGCTCCTGCTGAAAATTCTTGTCCTAGTGATGAATATTAAATTTCTACCTACTTTCTATTTATAAGGAGAAATATCAAATAATAAGTGCCTGTATTAATATTACTTCTTAAACCTAGGAATATAATCATCAAATCCAACCTTAGCAAACTTGGCATTATGACACCACATTCAAAACCCAATGGTTTTGTATGCATACCCATTCCTGCAGGAAGGGAGAAGTACAGCTGGGCTTACATTTCCTCTTCAACAAAAATGCCCACAAGACTCTGTGGATCAGGACATCATCAAGGTCAAACAGTCCTGCAGAAACAGCCCCGACTCACCCAAAACAACTCTCAAGTCCTGGCCGTCCAAGTGCAGTACCCAGGTGTTGGTGGTTTTTGATCTGTTCTCCATGTACTTCTTGAGGCTTTTCCCATCGATTTCCAGGGTGTACTCATACGCAAAACCACTGACAGCATCTATATTTATGGTGGCTTTGGTTTTTGCAGCTCCGACGCAGAAGGTCTCTTTGCCCACCAATTTGAACATCCACTCTTTCCTTATCTCTTCCTAGATGATAATATATAAAGGTTTAATATACAAACAAAAATTAGTATTTACTTTTAAAGATAATGTAAAAATTCAGACTGTCCAAATGGCATTACTCTTTATATTTTTATTATTTCATGTCGAGGTTCCACAAGTAGTCATTCTATGTTTAAATGCTAGATGTTATAGTCTGCGTATTCTGTAACAACCATATAAATGAAAAACAACCAGTAAAAAAAAAAAAACTTTACTTATTAAGAAGCTACACTGACAAAACCAAGCTTTGCTGTCATGTTTTACAAAGTCAAATGTTTTCCTACCTTCCCATCCACATACACAACTCTTTTGCCTGATGTGGTCCCATGCTCAAATTCAATCTTGTGGACTCCATCACTTAATGCAACGTCCCAAACAGCTACAAGATCTGCCATTTTTTCCAGGTTATAAAGAGGGCTAAAGGAATAAAAAAGCCATTAAAATGGGCCAAAATATTAAGGGGATAACTAATCCTAATACCAGATTTTCAGAAGTCCTAAAATTACAAAATAATAAAGCGGTGTTTCTTGACTTTCTACTCACAGAACATGTAACTGTTTTCTTTCTCTCTCACTGGCTCTTCTCCAAGAGACAAGTATGCACAGGTATAGTCTAATAATCCCAAAGTCACCTTAATACTAATAAGATTAAGACTGTAACAGTTAATCCCCGCCAGCACTCTGGGCTAGGCTGGTCTAGTACATGGAAAGGTCAGGAAAAGTCTCCATTTTATGACCATCTCCACAAAAATGTCCAGAAATGAGAAGTTTTTCCTTTTTTAGATCAGATCAATCCCAAGCAAGAATTCTTTTGGAAACAGTGTCTAGGGATTTGTTTCAACAACAACAAAAACAACAAAAAACGGTGTTCCAATTTGTTACTCAAAACTATAATGGAATAATTTGATACTAATATAGATAATTAGCTTTGAGAAGTATTATGCATTGCAATAATGGGGGTCACAGCTGACTGGGGCTGGCCGGTGCTCTCCGTAGACCAGTCACTAAATCACAGAAGCCTCTCCGTGAGATGGGTGCTGTCGGTCCCTTACTTTGCAGAGGAAGCACAGAGCCACTAAGGTTTTAGTCATGGTCACAATGACAGTAAGTGGCAGGAGGAGCAGGCTGTAAACCACTCTGACTCCAACATTGTTCTCTTTGTTTCCTTCTCTGCTCATTTTAATCTTACTTTGCTTGCTGTAAATTATTTTCAACTGGTTGCCAAGGCTTCTGGCCGTGAATGGGTGGAAGATGGCGCCTCATTTACGGTGGCCACACCCACACAGGTGTTTCACTACCCTCCTCTAGGTCAGAAAGCAGAGCCTGCATTCTGCAATGACACAGACCAGTGTGTCTTCAACACAGAACTCTACAAACCTATCCTGACGACCCCAGGGAAGTTTCAAAGGCCAGTTTTATTGCAAAACAAGACATTTACCTTTCATCATCGTCAAAGATAGGACTGTCATCTCCAGATGCCATGGTTAGCAACACAGTCTGCAATCCAATTAGCAGCCAGGAAAGAGAAAAGCAGAAATGCAGCAGAGAGAGAGGTTGGAAGCAACAAAGACAGCTACAAAGGTTTTTTTAAAACTTTGCCTGCTTGTTCCCATGAAGCACACCTACATACGGTGGAGAGCAGTCTTTTGTTCTCAGAGTTTGAGCGCGCACATCAGCCAATTCCACTTTCCTATGCCAAGCATTTATACTTTTTTAAAAGTGGTTTATTAAAACGGGGAGAATAAACTCTAGTTTATCTGGAATATTACATCATAGTGGAGCTGCAGGAGCCTACGGCCCCTCCCACTCCCAGTGTCTCAGCCTGGAGCATAGGAAGCCCCATGGGTTTGAGACCGTGCTTCAGGGAGCACAGCAAATGTTAAGATAAACAGCATTACCCAGCGAGTATGCAAAACTCCAAAGAAAACACAATAGCTGTATCAATATTCAGGGTGAGCTAAAATCCAATCTTTATAGTACAGTGTAGAAGGCTAACACATAAATTAAATCAGTTTCCTCCAAAGAAATAGTAAATTTGCATAAAGTACTGGTCTGTTGTGTGGGAGCAAAGTTTACTCACTCATTTACTTGAGCCAGTAAATCCACAGCTGCAGGACTCATTCAGCTCACTAGCAGAATCTCAGCTCGAAGCAAAGACCATACCAGGCAATGAGGGCGCTGCTTCAGAAGTGCATCTACGCTTACATATGCAGCAGGCATCATATGCACAAGGCTGCAGTGCTAAAGAACTACTCAGAGCCGGGCGTTGGTGGCGCACGCCTTTAATCCCAGCACTCGGGAGGCAGAGGCAGGCAGATCTCTGTGAGTTCGAGGCCAGCCTGGTCTACAGAGTGAGTTCCAGGACAGCCTCCAAAACAATACAGAAAAACCTTGTTTCAAAAAAGAAAAAAAAAAAAACTACTCAGAAGCACACATATGCTAACATGCACAGGAGACACACATGAGAAAACTATAATCAACAACCTACTCCTGCAAAGCTACTATAAATTTTGCTGTGTTTTGCACCCAAGGCCTACTCCAGTTGTAACACTACCTTCAATGAATGCTTTCCCAGCTGGTGTCCAAAGGTGCTCTCCCTTTGCTAACAATGGGAGACTGTCAACCCCTCCTGCTGGAAGAAGTCAGGAGCCACAAACAGTGTTTCAAAGAAAAGGCTTCTATGCATAGCAATGGAATACACCCGGTGTTGTAATATAACTGCTGGAAGCATTCTCCGTAAATCAGAGAAATGTCACTCAAATTTTGCAATACAATTTTTAGAGTGTTTGAAAAAACTCACCACTCAAACCTGAAAATATTGATGCATTTTGGGTTATAAAGAACTCCAAATATTACTAAGATGCACTAAATAAGGTATGGGAGCTAGAGAGATGACTCAGTGGTTAAGAACATGTACTGCTCTTTCAGAGAACACTAATTCTGTTCCTACCGCCCATGTCAGGCAGCTCACATCCACCTGTAACTCCTGCACTAGGAGGGTTTGATGCCTTCTTCAAGACTCTGAGTGCCAATCTAAATATAAAAGATACTAGTCACTGGGTGTGATGTGCATGCCTTTGATTTCAGTACTTGGGAGGCAGAGGCAGGCAGATCTCTGAGTTTGAGGCTAGCCTGGTCTACGGGCTGAGTTCCAGGATAGCCAGGACTATGTAGAGAGATCGTATCTACAAAACAAACAAACAAATAAAAGACACAGTGGGGCTGAGCGATGGTGGCGCACGTCTTTAATCCCAGCACTGGGGAGGCAGAGGCAGGAGGAGCTCTGTGAGTTCAAGCCCAGCCTGGTCTACAAGAGCTAGTTCCAGGACAGGCTCCAAAGTCACAGAGAAACCCTGTCTTGAAATATCCCCAACCCACCCCCCGAAAAAAAAAAAAAAGACACAGTGAGTCTTCCACAGTGAGTTGAAAGGGAAGTTAAACATCAAGATTAAATTTTATCTTTAAAAACTATTCTAAACTATCAATGGACATTCATACATGTAACAATTATTCAGAGATATTTAGAAATTAGTGATTTTAGGCTTGCTGGGGGGGGTGAGGTGCACACCTTTAATCCCAGCATCCCAGCACTCGGGAGGCAGAGGCAGGTGGATCTTGGTGAGGCTGAGGCCAACCTGGTCTACAAAGTGAGTTCTAGGATAGCCAAGGCTAATAGAAAAACCCTGTCTAGAAAAACCACAGGGGTAAAAAAAATTTAGTGATATTTCATTCTCCAATAATTCAGAGTATACATCTTAGGAGAAAATTATATAAAATGGTCAGAGTAAGCAACTACCTGACAAATGACAAATTCTATTTGTTTGTGTGTATCAAACTGGCAAAACACACACACACACACACACACAAATCCACATATCAATACAAAACTAATTTACATGTAGTTTTTTTCTGTAGGTAGAGTCAAATAAGAGAAAGGCTGGCTGCCTTAATGAGAGTTAGTAGCACTCCAGTTTTCCCATGCTACCCACTGTTTTCAGGCAGAAGACTTAAACTTTTTATAATTTCTAAATGTTTGTGTATGTTTGTGGTGTGTGTGTGTGTGTGTGTGTGTGTGTGTGTGTGTGTGTGTGTGTGTATGTGTGTACTTATGAGTACAGGTGCCCATGGGAGCCATAAGAGGATGCAGATCCCCTGACCCTGCAGGTTGGGCTCCTCTGGAGCTCCGGTCTTCTGCAGTAACAGCAGGCCCTCTTAACCACTTGTCATTCTCCAACCCCCAAAGACTTAAAACTCCTTTACAAAATACTGTAAAACCTTGTAATAGCACTTGTGGCTTCTGAAAGGCTGTGAAGCATCGACTCCTGTGACATGTTCCAGGAGAGAGGGACTTTTAAAAGTGCTTCCCACGATAAACCTTGCCACCAACCAGCCATATGATTTCCCAATGGAAAAATCACAACGAAACCCAATGAGTTCCCCTTGTTTAGACTCTCTCCCTCATTATGGGGAAATCAAAGCAACAAGACACCCCTTTAAGTGACAGCCCCACTGCTCTTCCTAGTTCTTACCATCGGTTACTTTTCAGCAAGGCTATAGAGGACACTGGGTGTAAGAACATTTTTTTCAGCCGGGCGTTGGTAGCGCACGCCTTTAATCCCAGCACTCTGGAGGCAGAAGCAGGTGGATCTCTGTGAGTTCGAGGCCAGCCTGGTCTACAGAGTGAGTTCCAGGACAGCCTCCAAAACAATACAGAAAAACAAACAAAAAATTATTTTCACAAGATCCCATCTGAAAGTGTAATCCTCCTCAATAAATCTCATTCAATTTTTTAAAGATTTATTAATCACATATACAATGTTCTGCCTACATGTCAGAAGAGGACGCCAGATTGAATTGTAGATGGCTGTGAGCCACCATGTGGTTGCTGGGAATTGAACTCAGGACCCCTGGAAGAGGAGTCAGTGCTCTTAACCTCTGAGCCATCTCTCCAGGCCCCTCATTCAATTTTTAAGACAATGTTCAAAACAACTCTCCAGGGTCCTGCCTTTGGGCTGCAGTACAAGGTTTTTGGATTTTTTTTAAAACAGAAGTTCCATCAGACCTGTGATCATCATGACACATTTCATTTCAAGACTTTAAAGTGTCATTGGGATTGCTCTCTTGGCCCAACCGTTTTCTTTTCCTTTTTCTTAAATCACTCTGGCTGTGATCAGTATAATTCATATTGAACCCTTCGACTACCACTTGGCTCCATGTCTGTGTTCTGACCCAAAGTCAGACCCTAATGCTACCACTCTGTCCTATGCCACATCATGACCTGCACAGGTCTGCTTACAAAGCAGCCAACAATCACCAAATGACCAACGACCTACCAAGTACTCGGACTCCGTGGAGATGATTTTACTAGAAAATTGTATCTCCAAATATCCATTCAGTGTTTCAGAAAGGGTAGTAATTTAATTATGATGACTTCACCAGGCAGCAACTAACACTGACCACAATGAGCATTGGAGGCAATGCAGAGGATTTTCATACAGAGTTTACAGGCTGTTACAGGTGACAGATTAAATGCCACATTAGATCGGTTAAACAGCAAAACAACTCACATTGCCTGTCCGACCTTGAGCAGACTGTGATTTCACTGGGTTTCAATGAACCAATTCATTCCATACCTGAGACAGGTTTCCAAGTCAGACTTTGCAAGAGAGAAACTACAGAATTCTAGGAAGAGACTACAGAATGCCACTCTGGCAGCTGTAAGATAACAGGTTCCTGCATTTAAGCAACTCGAGTTGATCGTATTGCAGTACTAGAGAGGTTCAGAAATAAATGTTACCCCAATGCCAACCTGCACGAACGGACTGGCCAGAGCCAGCAAGGATGCTGCGGTGAGCTGCTCCCAAGAGCTCCGATCCACCGAGTACCTACAGCAGGGTTAGCTCGGCCTCCCGCAAGCCCCGGGAGATGCATGTGTTCCGTTCACATCTCTCCAGGGTATTTCGGCCAAGGCCGCGAGGGATGCGTCTGCTGCTGTACCCAGACTGTGACCGGTCCGAAGCCAGAGAACCCCGGATAGCGCCGTGAATGCTGTGATCAGGCACTTGAGGGTCCGCAGCTGCGGGGCGTCCGCACTGACCAGCGGGGCCACCCCAGACCCGCACTCTCCCGGGCCTCCTGCCCTGAGCCCACCGCGGCTCGTTGCCCGCCGCCCGAGGCCTGGGCACCGCGAATCTCGGAGCCCAAGCGGCCGAGCCGAGCAGGAAGCGCCCGCCCGAGCCTCCAGCTCCGCTTTCCACGCTCACCTGCCCGGCGTTCCGCCACCGGCTCCTGATTCCGCGGCGCAGTCAGCAGCTACCTCCCACGGCCGCGCCCGCCGGGCTCCCGCAACCACATGCCGGGACCTCAACCTCCTAATGCCTTCCGGCCTCAGCGAGTCACACACCCACTGCCCGACTGAGGCTGCGCGAGTGCGAGACCCCCCCCAACCCCCATCCAGAGGCTCCGCCCACCCACCACGCAAGAGCCAATTCCCGGTGTCCGCCTCCCGAGGCCCCGCCTATCCTCCGAGCCCGAGCCAATCCCGCTCCTGCTGTGCGCCCTGGCGTGCGCCGCTGCGGCCCGAAGGCCCCGCGGATGGTAGCCTCTTAGGATGCTGCAGTGTTAGCAGCCCCCTAGCTTGTATCTTCAGGGAGAACCTGCACCTCCTGGATCGACAGTGCCTCTGCTGACATCCTTTGTTCCCACGGTTCCATTTCCTGCGATACGATCATTTTAGGTGGAAGAGTCCAGCATCTGGAACACTTTTGTGTTCATCTCTGAACAACCGCAGGGAGATTTTTGCTGGCCTCATCTCCCTGTTGTAGGGAAATTTCATACTCCTTTCTTTAGTGAGACGCTTGAATTTCACTTCCTGATGCCATATCTTGGAGGATGGGATAGAGCTTAATGACAGGGCACTTAGCTATCATGGGTGAGGTTCTGGGTTACCTGTGGAGCCCTGGACGTCCTGGAACCTTACTCTGTCGACCAGGCTGGGGCCTCGAACTTATAGAGGTCTGCTACCATTTTTTAAAAATATGTACATAATAGGGGCTGGAGAGATGACTCAGAGGTTAAGAATATTGGCTGCTCTTCCAGAGGTCCTGAGTTCAATTTCCAGCAACTACATGGTGGCTCGAAACCATCTATAATGAGATCTGGTGCCTCCTGGAGTGCAGGCATAACACTGTATACATAATAAATAAATCTTTAAAAAATGATGTATATGTGTACACAACACACAACCACTGTATTGTCTCTAATGCAACCCAATACTATTGTAAAAGCTCAGGCAAGCAATTGAGTAGTCTCATATAGAATCTACAAATAAATCTCATAAAGAGAACAAATCAGATTTTTTAAAAATGTACCCGGGAGGCAGAAGCAGGAGGATCTCTCTGAGAGTTCAAGGCTAGTCTGGTCTACAAAGTGAGTTCCAGGACAGCCAGAGCTCTTACACAGAGAAACCCTGTCTTTAAAAAAAAGAGGGGGGGAGGCCGAAAAGAAAAACAAAACAAAGAATTTTGATAAGGTCTTAGTTTGGGAGTGTTTTGTGCTTGCTTGGTTGATATTTAAGAGATTCTCACTATGTAACCAATGATAGCCTCACACTTGGACTCCAGACTTTTCTGCCTCAGTCTCCCCACTGCTTAGATCACTGTGCCTAGTACTTAGGAAGTGGAGAAGGAAGATTGCAAGTTCCAGGCTATCCTCAGTTTCACAACTAAAGTTTGTTCTCAGAACTAGAGCAATATGACTTCAGTGAAGCCAAAGTTTTAGGCAGGATACCCACAACATTAAAGAAGGTAAGTCTACCTAATATTTTGAAAACTCTGCCTGACATGGCAATACATTTTATAAGAAAAGAATGCAAACGGAAGGGAACTGGACACAAAACAGATGGCAGACACATTGCACCCCTCACATAAAAGAGTTTCTGTGAATATATTTTTAAAATACCAAATGGTGTTTTAAAATTTTTGGTGAAATATACAAATAGGATATTAAGAGGACAGGAAGTATAAATGGTGAACTTAAAAAGATCTTACTTTTTCTGATCCCCAGCACTGAAAAAAAGTTTAATCTTATCACAGACTCAACCAATTGCAAGTCAGAAATATCTTGTAAGGTCTGAACAGTTGCTAGCATATGTGAAACCCTCAATCTAATGTTCAACACTACCAAACACATAATACAGACTCAGTATACATAAATACATATACATATATTTTAATTGGACTGAATATATGTTGATTCATTGTTCCTGCCTTCCTAGTATATAAAAAGAACTTGACTATTTATGTAGTGATTATATTAGGCATTATAAGTAACCTAGCAGTTATTAAGTATATGGATTGGGGATATAGGCTCTGTGCAAATGCAGGGACATTATATATAGAATATTAGTGTTCTTGGATGTTTTTAAGTGCTGGGGATTAAACCTAAGGCATCACACATGCTAGGCATATGTGCTACCACTGAGTTAAACCTTCATCCCTCATCCTTAGGTTTCAGTACCTACTGGGAATTTCTGGAACTGATTCTCCACAGACACAAAAGGGATGGTGACTGAATATAAAGCAAGTGGCTTAAACAAGAGAAATGTATCCCCCATGGTTTGGGATGCTACAAGTCCCAAATCAGGGTGTTGGCAAAGTTGGTTGTTTTGGCTGAAGGGGAAGCCCTTCCCATTGGTTTTCTGTCTTTGTCAGTCCTTGGTTTATAAAAACAGCATCTTCCTCTCTGCCTTCATCTGTGTATATGTATGTATGTGTACATGTGTGTGTGCATGTGTGTTCATATGTGTTTGTGTCTCTCACACATATATGGGATATTTTCTTTCTTTATAACATGCAAGTTGAGTAGAATTAGAGACCATTTAGACCAGTTAGAGTATTCATTTTAAATTTGTAAAAACACTCCAGCAACAAAGTCATATTCTGAGGTTCAGCAAATTAGCACTTCAATGTACGGATTTGGAGTGAAGGTCTTAATTTAACCCATAACATACAGACACAGAGAGAAACTGAAGGCAGAGGCAGAGTATGGAGCAATGCAGTCAAAGAATACCAAGGACTGTTAGTGATCATCCAAACAGGCAGAACAGGGAAGAGTCCTTGCCCGGAGTTTCAGAGGGAGCAGGACTGGCCAGCACATTCAAGTCAGACCATCAGCCTTTAGAACTATGAGAGAATGCTTCGATTTCCTCCTCCTCCTCCTCCTCCTCCTCCTCCTTTTAATCTTGTTTTAGGCTACCACTAAAGCCTGTGGCAATTTATTACAATAGCCATAAGAAACTAACCTGGCCCGGCATTGGTGGTGCACACCTTTAATCCCAGCACTTGGGAGGCAGAGGCAGGCGGATCTCTGTGAGTTCTAGACCAGCCTGGTCTACCAACTACTGAGAGACTTCCAGGACAGGCTCCAAAACAGTACAGAGAACAGTCTCCAAAACAGTACAGAGAAATCCTGTCTGGAAAAACAAAAAACAAAAACAAAAACAAAAAAAAAAGAAGAAAAAAGAAAGAAAAGAAATTAACCTGGCAGGCAGAACCCAATGGATGCATGCTGAACACGTGTGTGTGTGTGTGTGTGTGTGTGTGTGTGTGTGTGTGTGTGTGTATGCGCCAGCACATACAACTACAGACAGATGAATGGCTGGAGTTGAGCTGGGAAAGGAAAGTATTCACATCCCAAAGAAACCATTTTTCCATGAGCCATATAGCATCTTGTGTTACAGATACTAACCCTGCTCACACTGGCTCACTAGAAATCCTAAGTGGTGCAAGGCATCCTTCTTGTTCAGACTTGTTTGGTGACTTTTCCTGGAGAGATGTGAACAAACACTTAGCCACACCAGGTGGTGCACCAAGAACTGGCTAAAGAAACCAGTCCAGCTGCGACTAGCTTGGTGGGCAGGTTCCTTTATTTTATGGCTTGTGAGGAATTCCACAGAGGAGTCCCCTTCTCCCCAGAAATTGCTTACTGCTCATATAAGCTCCGTGAGGGGCTTCAAGAGTCTTACAGTTTTCTTCTGAGTTCTTCTAACTTTCCTGATAGCCTCATGAGCAATCTCCTATTCCTTCCCCCTTCCCTCCATAGGGAATGTTTAAATATGGAGGGGACAACGTCACGCTAGGAAAACTGACCAGACTTCCTGGTATGTGCCCAAGGCTGTACCCAGCCATGCAGAACACAACACGGTGTGAAAACATGCCCATGGCTGCCAGGGACCTTTTATCCTTCCCATGGGGCCAAGATACAGCTGCTGCTGTAGCAGCAAGAGATACTCATCTAAACCTGGCGATTAAAAGTGTTTGCTTTCCTCTGCCATCAGCCCTGCAGGATTCCCTGTATTTTGCTTACACAAGGAAGCATATAGATTTCACAGTGTGAAGTCATCCAGATAGCTTTGGTACAGTCTCCCCTAGCACTCTTGCTCTCATGCTCTGTCATGCCCACTGGGATTCTTTAAAACAGTCCGAGTCTCCCTTAGTCTTTCCCTCTGACACACTCTCACCATCCCCCCACCCTCTGGACCCACACCTTGGGGAAACAGAAGTGACAATTAGAGCAGAAAAGCTAAAAGGCAAAGAAAACCAAAGTTGTTAAGATGAATTAACTACACACACTAAGCTACACCACTAAGTGCTGATGGCACAAGACTATAGCCCAGTGTTTGAGAGGCGAGCAGAAGTTCAGTGATGGATGGTCTCCCTTTCTCTGGACGCCTGCCTGAGGGGTGTCCATCTGAAGCTGCAGGTTGGTCTCATCTCTCCTCTGCAGCTGAAGATGATTTTAAGCTCCTGGTCCCCCTGCCTCTACCTCCCGAGTTCCGGAACTGCAAGGGAGAACCACCATACTGGGATTCAACATTCCTTTTTAGTAATCAAAAATTCACCTGTGCAGCAGTGGCACATGACTTTAATCCCAGCACTTGTGAGGCATAGGATGGTGGATTCTCTGCGAGTTCGAGGCCAGCCTGGTCTACAGAGTAAGTTTCAGGACAGGCTCCAAAGCTACACAGAGAAACTCTGTCTCAACAAAAAGAATTAAAAATTCAACTGTTAACATCTACAATGCAAGATGTTTTTTGTTTTGTTTTGTTTTTAACTTAAAAAAAAACTTCCTTTGCATTGGTGTTTTACCTTCATGTATGTGTGAGGATGTCAGATCCCCAGGAACTGGAGTTACAGACAGTTGTAAGTTGCCATGTGGGTGCTGGGAATTGAACCCAGAAGAGCAGCCAGGGTTCTTAACTGCTGAGCCATCTCTCCTGCTCCCAGTTATGGAGCCAAGGCTGGCATCCAACTCAAGAGCCTTCTGTGTAGCTTCCTGAGTGGAGATACCAAGTCTGCACCACCACAATTGGTTTATGAGATTTTTATTTGAGAACAT